TCTTTTCCTACAATTATGGCCGTTGCCAACTTACAGTAGGTGCCTTGCAGGCAGTTGGATCATCGCCGCAGCCCATACAGTATGTCGATGACATTTTTGATCATTGTGAAGTTCCACAAACTATAGGGGACATAGAAACCGAGATCCACTGTACAATTCCATTGGGACTAGCTGCTCATCAGGCCATAAAAGTTAGTCCCCCTTACATATACTAAACACGGGATAAGTAAAGGAAGAGAGGGTAAAGAAAACACAGAAAAGAAATTCAAGTACATCCATCCGTAGTTCCTTCGCAGACACCCGACCTCAAACGCCGCTGGGCCCCCATTTATGCGCCGATGTAGAGACCAAAATCCCAGGTTATCATTATGAAGCATAATTTCATCAGCCTAGGCGTTCGCCGTGACAACTTTGTTGAATCCTGCAGTTACTGTCTTCGTTATTTCTTCATTCTTGTGAGGAAGAAGAGACAAGGCATAAGCAACATCATTCCACTGCCGCTCGGTCTCACATCTGGGAAGTCGAGCAGCCAGTTTCTCAGCTAATTGCCGGGCGTGTTTCTCCTGCGAGCGCAAAAGTGGTTAGCACATGAAGGCATAGATTATTTATCTGAGGTGTTTCAATGGAGACTAACCTTTTCAACGAAGCCTATCAGGAATTTAACGATACGCCTCAATGAGGCCTCCTCGAGGTTACGTTCAGCACTAAGAAGGCTGAACATATCAACAAAGTGGTTGTAGACTGCGTTGTCTTTGCCCGCCAGCTCAGTGAAAAACATGCGGGCAAGGTCAGCAATACGCTTATCTTCATCCTCGAGACACTTAGCCATCTCGCCGAGCTGCCCTTTGACCTTGACCTGACCGGCTAAAATAAGGAATGTAAGCGTCATGAGACAAGTGCGCTTTACCGAAGCTTCGTCATCGTTCAGTCGACGATACAAGAAGTCTGTATTTTCATCGATCAGATGGTTAAAACAAACTGCCATGTCTCCTAAAGCGATCACGGCGTTACTGCGGACCGTTGGATCTTCAGAACGCTCCATGATGGTAATCAGAAGTGGCAAGTTTTTCTCGCAATAGTCTGCCGAGACACACATCAACTTGGCCATGCACAGAGTTGCCGCCGCCTGAAGGTTGCGGTCGGCATAGATGTTGCTATTCGCGCAAATTTCTGTAACCAACGGCCCAAAATTGGATAGGAGCGAATTCTCGCCGTATAGCAATTCCCGTTCTCGAATATGTGCCATGGCATCCTGAAAGTCATCTTCAGTAGTCCCACCGATGAGGTCAAGCTCATCATCTTCGGCATTGTCGTTCTTTTGGTTGGAGGTATTGGCTGTTTTGTTCTTCTCCTGTTCTGCTTTGCGGCGTTTAAAGTCAAGTTCACACAATTCAAGATGAACAATCTGCTTAATGGCAATATGACCGACAACAAAAAGAAGCTGGGATAAAGAAGTAGACGATGTTTCTTGCTTTGCTCCATGACCTTCCGTTGAAGCCGTTTCAGGTCGTTGTTCTTCCCCGTCATCTGAAACTTTGGAAGGGGATCGTTGAAGCTGTGGCTGAAAAACGAATCTAGTTTTCCGTTTCAGTATATCAGAGCACAAGACATCTGGGTGCTTTGACAGAGCATAGATAGCACCAATGGCTTGTTCCGCCACACCGTACCATTCTTTGCTATCAGATATCGATTCGACTATAGCCCCGAGCTTCGTCAAAACTGCATGGTCATTGCCCAGTTTGGGGATACCAACGTCCTTGGACTTTGCTTGGCGACCTGGCACCATTCGTCTCAATGCAATGCATGTATACTTTGCAAGCACGAGGTCAGATCTGCCCAGGCTTCCAAGCCCGATGCGCAACATTGTCTCAATTTCTTTTATGACGACCTCGGGATCTGCCAAAGCAAGCATGCCCAGGACAATTATAGCTCCTCGACGCTGTGTCTTTGATATCTCTTTCTTTTGCACACCATAGACCTGCCAGAGCTTCGCAATAACGGCATCTGAAATGTGACCGGCCCTCATCATAGTACTCAATAGTTGTTCGAGACACGTCAGTTCAGCGGGCGTTGACCCAAACGTTAGACTGATCATGTTTCGCGCGATATAATTTGCAGCGTCATTGGGACTAAACGAATCTGGAGCCTCGAAGAAAAGTCCTTTATAGCAGTCGATCAAGTGAGTCTGAACTCCCTTGCCTTCGTCACTATTACCTTTCGTCCAGATCAGTCGCAGCATCCGCCGGATCCCGCTACGGGAGGTCTCGACCTTGTAGGCATCGAGCACGACAAAGAAGTCCATGGCCTCAATGGCCTCACTCTTGTTCCTCGACGATAAAAGCTGAGCGACCAAGCCAGATGAGGAATGAAGGACTTCGATGAACCGGATGGCTTCATTGTAATATTTCCTGGTGAGCTGTAGCCGTGCTAGCAGCTCGGAAGTAGCTGCCTGTTCGGCAGCTTTTTTAATGGCTGTGGCTTTCTCTTCGTCTGTCAATCCCGAAGCTTTAGATGGGGAGTCCTCCGGCAATTGAGTGGCATCATCCAATAATGCACTATCAACATGCGATGCATCCGCCCCATCAAAGCCAGGTGTCTCGGGAGGTCTCAAAGCATTCAGTTCAGCATCCACAGTGTCGAGTCTAGCTGACCATTCCTTGTGCGAGAGTTGCCCACCGTGCATGACACTGAAAGGGTGAGTTGATACCAGCTTTGCCAGCAATCGTATCGCATTCCGGCGCACGTTGCTGCTCTTGTCTTCTAAGCTCCTTGCTGCCAGCTCCGCCACAGCCTGGCGTCGCTTGGGGAATTTCTGTTCCAGGTCACAAATCCTCATGTAAACCTGGATAGCTCTGCACCGACAGTAAGGATTGATATCCAGAAAGCGCTCTTCAAGCACATCGAAAAATGCGTTGATCTGCGTTTTGTAGTTGTCACTCCGCTCCTCTTGCCGGCTTAGATCGGCGATGAGATTCCCGCAGACTTCGATTACTGCACAACGAAGGGTGTATGACTATAGAATATTAGATACTCAGTAACTGGCACGATGGGAGAGTGTGCGTAATCACCTCGCTGTCCAGCTGCTTAGCCAAAAGAGTCATTTGCTTGATGATAAGTCGTGGGGCCAGCTCTGAGAGTTTCACAATGAACGCTGACACCGACTTAGGACCGCGTGTGTCATTAGAATTGAATTCTTTGTTTCCAAGCTCCCTAAAAATCGTAAGCCGGAAGTGTTCCTGTGGACATACAGGTTAAAGTATGCTACGTACTTCAGTATTTCATCCGAGAGCTGAGGATAATCATATTGTTCTGCCAAGATATGCAAGAACTCCGCCATAGGTTCTGAGAGGTGCTCAAAATATGTCAAGCTCTGTACGATGGAGGTCTGGGCACCTATTTGGTGAGTTAGTTATTGGGTCCCTACCTCAGTTAGTTGACTCAGAGCAACTTACCGAATGCATGGCCGTGGTGCTTAACTGCGATGCAAAGAACCTTAAATGCATGCATCCGAATGCTCATACTCTTGACGCGTTGTTCGCTTTCGAGGATAAGGTAAATTGAGCGGGTGAACAGATTGATGAATGTATCACGGTCAGATGTCGTCAGAAATATTCTGCTGAGTTTAAGCTTCATCACCTTGCACATCGTCTCCATCGAGATCTGAATCTGCGTGGTCCAGTCCCAGTTTCCATCTTTGGCGTTCGTTTTAGATCTGGCTGATTTCCCTGCGCCCCTGCGGGCGGGTACAGGCTCTGTGGGCTTTTCTGCAGCTTTGACCTCTACGGCACTAAGAGCCCATTGGAGAAGAAACCCATACATTTCCAAAAGCTGCTTGTGATGCTGTATGCCATCCTGCTCATCGGATTCAAGCTCCCCATGTATTATGTCCGCTTCGACCGATAAGCCGGAAACGATTAAATCAAGAAGCTTGCTGAGAGACCTCGTTGGGGAAAACGAGCAATACCTGCGCAAATTAGGGGATTTAGAAACATTTCTATAGATAATGAAGACATCCTGAGGACGAGAGGAACATATCAGGGGACAGGACGCACTTCAACAGAAACTGCAGCGAATCGAAAGAAGACGATCGGGCCAGTCCTTCTGGGTTTTCCGCGACCGCATCAACGATGGGATTCAAGACATTGTCAATCAGAGCGCCAGACAGTTGGTCCGGATCGGTCTCGCAGTCGAGCAGCTCTGGATCAGCATCGGGAGTAGGGACAGAGGCCGGGTCGCTCAGATAGTGTTTCAGCGACTCGTTTATGTCGAATTGAATTCGGTCCTCCATGATCGGCCACTGCGAGGGTTATCCCCGAAGGGCATATAGCTTTATCCAAAGCGATGAGGTCAAGAGATGTGTTGCGAAAGCAATTTATGTGTAGGTAGCGAGCCGGAAGGAGGGGGTTGTTGAATGGGGGGGCGGATGTTGGAGGGGAAGGAGAGCCGCAGGGAAGAAATGACGGGCGGCGGGCTTCATTTGTTTGTATCTTTCCCTTTCGGTAGGTGGTTGTGAGGCGGCGGGGGCTGAGGGTTGCGTACCAGTAAATTATGTCACACGCTTCAACCCTCAATAATTACACTCTCATGCCGCTATCCCGTATTGTAGCAGGTCTTGAGAAATACAAATTACAGCATTACAACCAATGAATACTGCAAACGGCAACCAGTACACCAGCAACTTGTAATCTGATAGGTTTGCTTCAGACCCTTCCGCTTTGTAGTTGTTTCCTGTCAATACTTGTAATATGAAAATTACGTTTATATGATTCATGTAACTACAAACGAGTAAACAAACAAGTCTGGTTCCTGGTGCGGCGGTTTTGCATGCTGTTTGGAGCATCTTTGGATTGTTGCTGGAAAACAGTGGGAGCGACGACCGACTTCCCTCACTACAACGCTACAACAGGACTGGGGCTTCTCCTCATACCTATCCACACGTGTATGTGCGCGTGCGCGACTTGATCGAGCAATACCACCCTCCTTCATTCGCTTATTTCCATAACCTCACGCCTTCCTTTCCTTCCTGAAACACGACTATATCATTTTCAGTCTTATTGCACCTGTTTTGTCGTGTTGCTGCCAGGTTCTGCTGATCAAGCTATCACTCGGTGAACTTCCCTGCTAGTCTGTAACAGCCCTTCCAAGCGGTCCTCATTGCGATGTCCGCTCTTCATGCAGCTCCTACCGATACCTTCGGCATACAGCAACCTGTCGCTGCGACCCAAGGCCCCAAATATGTTAGAGAGGACAGTGCAGCCACAGATAGTGATGGATCGATAGAGCAAATCCGAGAAGAGGTGGAGTACGAGGAGGGTGACGCTCAAGACAAAGAGGATGTTGATGAATCAGTGAAAGAAGATATGAGAAAACTCGAGGACACATTCCCCGGCATATCTGATAGATTTCGGCTGTTGAATAGAATCGGAGAAGGTAAAGTGCAGCCGATTAACTTGCCCTTGGCTGTGTCCTCCCACATAGTAGCTGCTTCTACTTGCACCGACGGACTGACCGGCTGGCCATGGGTTTACAGGTACCTTTTCCACCGTGTACAAAGCAGAGGACCTCTTGTACGACCACTATGAAAACGATTGGGACACTTTCCAAGACAACCACACGGACAGTTGGACGGACCAACCGTCTAAAAGACGCCGGGTGGAAGGTGATAACGGCCGCTCGATCCCCGTCAAACGAAGGAAGCCACGGTTCGTTGCATTGAAAAAGATCTATGTGACTAGTAGTCCCCATCGCATTCAAAATGAACTTGAGCTGCTACATGATCTTCGGGGTTGCCGATCAGTATGCCCGTTAATCACGGCTTTCCGCTACCAGGATCAAGTTGTGGCCGTTCTACCCTTCTTCCCACACACCGACTTTCGCATTCAGTATCGCACATTCCTGGTTGCTGATATGCGACATTATTTCCGGTCACTGTTCACTGCACTGCACTCCGTCCATAAACATAACATTCTCCATCGCGATATCAAGCCAACGTAAGGACTACGCGCTATTCCACCATGTCTTCGATACGTGCCGGATGCTAACTTATAGCCTTGGCAGTAATTTCCTCTATAATCCTGATCTTAGAGAAGGCGTGTTAGTCGATTTCGGGCTTGCAGAAGTGAGTAGATCCACTGGTCATACGAGGCGACAACATACTGACTTGCGGTCATAGCGTGAGGGTTCTGAGTACACAGGTACCTGCCTGTGCGCAAATGCAGCTTACATACGCCGTAGTAGATATAACCACAGTTATCACAGCACTCATTGTTCACCGACGACATTATCAGCTGGCTATCCTAAGAACGACTCACGACCATCAAGGCGCGCTAATCGAGCAGGAACGCGTGGGTTTCGTGCACCTGAAGTCCTCTTCAAGTGCACTTCTCAGACAACCAAAATAGATATGTGGTCCGCCGGCGTCATTCTCTTGACCCTACTTGGACGCCGCTTTCCTTTCTTTAACTCGGCTGATGATGTTGACGCTATGATTGAGATGGCGAGTATCTTCGGCACTCGACGCATGAAAGCTGCAGCAGCTATGCATGGGCAGATATTCGAAACGAATATCCCGACCATCGGTGAAAAGGGGTATAGCTGGGAGAAACTTGTGAAATGGGCCAGCTGTGTCGAAGAGCTAACTGAAAGTGAGAAACAGGCCACTCGATTACTGGCTGGCCTCATGGAGCTGGATCCCTACAAGCGCCTCAGTGCCAAGGAAGCCCTACAACATGAGTTTTTCACTGACCCTATAGACCATGATGTGGAGTGGGGAGGGGACCCCGACGATAGCGCAGACACTGGGGAAGAAGATGAGGATAAGGATGATGGAGAAGCGGACGAAGTAGCAATGATATAGAGCTTCCGAGCCAATGTATGATAATGACTCCTGGTTTGATGATAATAAAACAACCTCTAACTCCTTATTTGCGATCGCTTTATTATTAAACGGACATTTTCATAGGATGGTTCCTTGGGTCCAGGCGATATATTCTCTAGCAAGTACAACTACTGAACGAGGGAGCCAGGAAAGACATGTAGACTGAAGAACTGATTCATTTAGCTGCACTGAAAGTAGGGGGATACCCGACCTCTAAGTCTAGTAATTTAGGAGTTGCGGCTTTCACCAACAGCCACATTATAATATTTATAGTGTCGTATATATCTCGGAAGATGGATGCTCACCCAGCTAGCACAGGTTCTGTTCAGCCAGCCTCGCCGAAATCAACATGTCCTGTTTGTTCGGCGTGTTGTGTAGCACCTCTCTCTCCGACGAATGTCCCTCCGCACGTATTGCAACGAAGACGAAACCCAGCTGTGTCAGTGTAGTAATGCCTGGTTTGCAGAACCTGACAGAGTTCCTGCGACTTCTCGAGTACCAATGAATCTGCAGCGTCGAAGACTTTTGTATCAAAGTCAGGAGGCACATCTGAGTGGGTATAGGGCGGACTAGAAGGCGACAAAGCGATTGTATCGTAGTGGATACCCGAATAGACCACGATACACCGCATCGGGGCGCCTTCGTTAAAGCGATCGATGCGAAGGGTCTGCACATCTATGGAGCATATTTCAATGTCGAAATGCTTGCTCAGAATGCTCAGCTCAATACCACCACCCCAAGAGTCCTCATTCTGAATCCAGCGGCAGTATTCATCCGGCTTCTTTTCCAATACTGCCTCAGTATAAAGGTCTGGGTGCGCTTGGATTGTTTGCGCAACAACAGATCGTAATTCGGTCATGGCATCTACTCCTCCCATAGTCGCACTACTCACTGCACGAAAGAGACAAGAGTTGTCATCGGGCATGATTCGGAGAACGAAGGTTCCGCTATGGTCAGGCGAGGGGACCTCCGGCGGATCATCAGGAGAACCCTTCTTATGTGTGCTGCCTACAGCTGGCGCTTTCAGCGGCGAATCTGCCGCTTGAGGTTCGTTCTTTAGCGGGGCATGAGCCGAGTTCTCTTGCTGTGTGACGATAAGTTGTTCCCCGTTCAGGGTAATGTCAAGATCTGCTAGTTTCTGCTTCGAAGGAAGCGCGCCTAGCACCAAGGGCTTGATATTTGGATATCCATATTTTACATCGTACGCCGTCAGCCCCGTTTTCTCCGTGATTTGGTGCCGGAGGTCGTCGACAGTTGCATCTGCATCCAGCGTGACGGTGGACTGTCCCGCCGGACCGCGAATCCGGATCCTCATTCTCCCTTGTGACGTAGTATCGCGAACGCTAGCGGGGTGGTGGGTTGGTGCAGGAGTGTATATAGATATAGGTTCTGGAGGGTGCGCGAAAGATATTCAGAGTCCAGCAATCTGCTTCAAGAACAGTTGCTGCAGTCGGGGTGATTGATAAAGGCTGGGGGGAAGACAATTGACCAGCAATCGAACCCGGCACCTGAACAATCGGGGGAGGGTTTATCTCCGCCGCAGGAGGAGCGATAGTAGTAATGCCTGACCGCGGCGGAGGCGGGCAAATGGCGGTGCAGCCTGGAAGTAATGTATGTTAGTATCTATGTTGTATGTATATGTAATAAAACAAGGACGCTCCTTATACGTCGTATGTAATATTACGTGTATCGTCACAGACTCTTGAAGCTACCTGATGAGTCAGCATAGTTGCTGCGCGAATCTCGTCCTTGTGCGCTTTTGCGCTCATTGTACTCCTGTTCGCACCCCAGATCAGCTCCCGCTGTCGATGTGCTCGACTGACAGGTTATCTTGAAATCAAGACTGACGAGTGGGTTTGGGCCCTGATCTGCGTGCCGTTTCTTGCGTGGCCGCGGCCGTCTACAGTATGGAACCGGAGCCGTCGCAAGCGCAACCTCAACCTGCTCCTGAGGAACCGGTCAAGTCGATCGAGAACGATGGCCAGACCGACGGTCAGGCTCCCACCGATGGGATCACAGATGATCAATGGAGGTCAATGATGAATGTGGTTTTGGCTATCTATGAATTCAGAGAAGAGGAGTAAGTTTTCCAATCCCCTTGTCCTGCGGGTTGGACCCCGGAGGAGATTCGCCGCGCTGAGTCGCATTCTGTCCGAGGCTGGAGCGTATCCCTCAATTCAGACTGACAATCCCCTTCTTCCCCACGGGTTGCAGTGGCCATGATCCATCAAGATTGTTCCAGCGAAGCGTCAACAAACGCAATGTTCCCGATTATTACGATATCATCAAGGAGCCTATGGCTCTAAGCATTCTTAAACAAAAGATCAACAAGCGCGAGTATAAGAGCTTCTCGGAGTTCGTGCGCGATTGTGCCCTAGTATGTTGCATCACTTTGGCCCTTTCGCCATCTGGGGTTCGTAGTTAGCTTACGTCAATCCTGTTCGCTAGATCCCTCACAATGCGCAAACCTACAACCGCCCCAAATCCCAAGCGTACGAAGATGCGCTCGTGATAAAGGTCTGTAGAAACTCGGACTCTACTTTCGGCTATCGATGCGTTCATGTTCAGTTTCGCTGACTGCAACTTTGACAACAAAAGGATGTCTTCATTGCCGAGTTTCGAAAACTGGTTGATCAAGGGATCATCACTGCGGAAGAGGCTGAACTTCCCGATCTGGGGGAAATCCCCGAGGCCGATCCCCTTCCCGAGGAAGAGGAAGAGGAAGACGAGGATGAAGAAGACGAAGAGGATGAGGAAGATTCGGATGATGAGAGCCGACGGAAGAAGAAAAAGGGCCCTCGTCCGGGTGGTAAACGGGACGGTGGCAAAGATGACGGTCAAAAGTCGAACGATCCCGAGCTGAGGAAGAAACGTGGACGACCACCGCGTGTTGATACCCCGATGGAGGCTAGAATCAAAGCCGTTTTAAAGGGTATTCGGAAGCTGAAGGGCCCTGGTAGCCAACTCAAGGTGCGACATTTCGAGCGATTGCCCGACAAGGCCACCTACCCGGACTATTACATGGAAATCAGAGAACCCATTGCTATCGACATTATCAAGCGGAAGTCGAAGCGGAAGAAGTACAACTCCGTGGACCATTTCATGAGAGACATGGACCTCATGTTTAACAACGCAAAGGCCTACAACCAGCCAGAGAGTCAAATCTATAAGGATGCGGTTGACTTGCAATTGGAAGCACGCAAACTGGCGGAGCACGAGAAGAAGAAGCCGGACAGTGAGTACTTGATGGAGGATGGACGCTTGCCCCTCCCGGATGGCATCCTGCACAAGAGCGAGCTGTGGAAGGTTGGCGACTGGGTACATATTCAGAACCCGAATGACGTGACGAAACCCATTGTCGCCCAGATTTATCGCACATGGCAGGATTCTGAGGGTGAGAAATGGATCAACGCTTGTTGGTACTATCGCCCGGAGCAAACTGTACATCACTTCGAGAAGCATTTCTACCCCAATGAAGTGGTCAAGACTGGTCAGTATCGTGATCACCGGGTGGAAGAGATTGTGGATCGTTGCTTCGTGATGTTCTTCACTCGTTATAATCGTGGCCGACCCCGAGGTCTTCCGCCCGACAAAGATGTCTACGTCTGCGAGGCTCGGTACAATGAAGAGAAGCATAAACTGAATAAGATCAAAACGTGGGCGAGTTGTCTCCCTGATGAAGTCAGGGAAAAGGACTACGAAATGGATCTGTTTGATGCTCCCCGAAGGATCAAGAAGATCCCCAGCCCAATCAAGCATTTGCTGAAGAGCGATGCGAAGGAGACCGATGACCTGCCCAAACCGACTTGGGGAGCCGAGAATGCACCTCCTGTCGTCGGTGCAGTTCATCGCCGCCCTCGAGATGAGAACGTAAGCTTCCCCAAACCCCTTCCCCCCTCTTCCACTGCTGGTGATTGGCATCACTGACAGGATCTACGCTTTACCAGGAATCTCCTCCTCCAGAACCAACCCCGTCACCACCTCCGTCCCTGCCACCACCAACCTTGCCCTCAGCTCCACCTCGACAGCCATCGATCCCTCAGTCGTCTGGACGGCCCAGTATAGACAATCAAAGCACCGGCGTGACGGCTGGAACTGTGGCGGCGGTCCGATCCCCAGCTGCACCTATTCCTCCGGCCCAGAGCTCACCGGCACCAGCTCCTCCGGTAAATTTCCATCAACCCCAGATTCCCCCAACCCAGGCTTATCAGCCTGCCTTGCAGAAGCGTGCTAGCGCATTCGTCCCTCAAACACCTCACCCGGCCACCTACCAAACGTCGGCTATGTCTCACCCATACGCGGCCGCTCAACAAACACCATATAACGCATATTCTGGCGGCCGGTTGCCGGTTCCTCCCATGGGAACGTACAATCCCAACGCTCCTCGTCCGATCGAAGTCTTCCATTTGAGCGATTCCGCGAATGCTGCCATCCCGGCGGACATACGTGAACAGTTCCACTGTGATGACCAGGGTCGCGTGCTATTCTTCTCCAGCCCGCCGCTTGATGTAGTCCCATCCGTTCAGCAAAAGCTAGGCCATTCACTCAAATATCTTGCTGCCAAAGAGGAGCGGAGAAGGTTGGTGGAGGCCAAGAAGCGCAAAGAGATGGATGAACAGGCCGAGCGTGAAGCAGATGCTAAGCGACAGCGAGCTGACATTGAGACAACTCTCGCCGCTCGGGTGGACGCTTTGACAACTAGGGCCGTGGAGAATTTGACGTCCCAGATCACGCAGGGCACAGGTCAGCTCTACGAAATCCTGTATCAGGATCAGGCAGAAAGTATCCGACAAGCAGATGCCAGAGCTCACGAACAAAGGCTTCTTGCCGACCACATGGCCCAGCAGCAAACTGCGCGGATATTGGCAAACTCGCAGCCGCCGAGCTACATCAACCTTAAAGGTAACGCCATGTATCTGAGCGACATTGGACCTAAAGCTTGATTTGTTGCGAAGGAACTGTCTTGAATCGACTACGGCTTAACTCCCTCGAATGCTCAGTGAGACAAAGACTGCCCACTGGATTGCCACGAGCTAGGTAGGATGAGGGTACAACCACGGAACTTGATTTGGACGGATGGCGATGTCGTCGTCTTTCTCCTCGATAGCCTCTTGTTACCCGACCAAACTCAATCGGAGAAGAATTTTGTTCGTCAAGTCCATGTTCTCATGTATAGTAGGACGTTAAATGCAGTCGATGTTTTCTTTTAGGAAGGTCACTCCGTTATGACTTAGTATATATGTCTCACAACCTACATCTTGTCCCTTCTAGTAATTTATCTGTGCTTGTCAGAGTGCAACAGCACAGTGTCAGTGTAGAATCATTTACGAGGTGGAGACATAAGCTATATTCGGATCATGGAAAGAAGTGGCCTTTCGCAACTGATCTACCAAGAGTGCGTGTCCAAAACAAGTTCCCCAAATCGGTCTAAAAGCCCGCAATATGCAAAAAGACACAAGATTAATAAGAAAGAGGAAAGAGGGCTGTTGTATAACTCCTGGAGATCGCTGAACTGTTCTATGCAAAATGCCCTCCAATAGCGCCGAAGCCTAGAGCACTCGGTATATCCTTTTTGGTGATGACGATGACTTATGGACATTATCATGGACTGGTACCAACCTGTGGTGCTTTTTTTTTTTGTTTTCCCTTTGCCCTTTTTTGTTATCATATGCTTTTGGTTTTTCCCCTCGTATATTGTATACATGCAGTAGCAATGGCAGAGTATTGGGTCCAGACCAGTATTTTTCGGCCAGATTTATGGCTGGAACCCAGAGTTACTCGTCGGTGTTGAGACATCGTCGTCATTGGAATCAGCCTTGTGTGGACTCCAAGAAGCGCTGTTTCGCTTATTATTCTCCTCTTCTTCCATGGAGAAGACCAAGTCGCCCTGTTCCTCATCAATCTTGCTAGTGCTAACTGGAGATGAAACAGTCCGGTCAAGGCGGCTGCTGGCACCCACAGATGATGAATGGCGAGCCGAGCCGGGGTGCAGAGAGACGCTGCTTAACTGTTGCGAGATCATAGACATCGATGACTGATGAGAAGGACTCCGGCTACCAATTGGGCCTAAGCTGGGGCTGGTTCCCAGGTTGAGAGAAGATTCGCGAAGGGGAGATCCGATGTGAGTAAGAGAGGTGCCGTGGACATCTTCCTCCTTTCTCTGTCGCTGTTTGGCAAACAGAGCGCCGAATCGAGATGGGCTGGAGGCTAGAGGCGATCCGACTTTCGAGAAACTTGTCCCACTCATGCCCAGTCCACTAAGATCATGGTCAGTGCGCGACAAACGCCGGAGTCGCTCCTGCGGTGTCAAAACGTCGTCATGCAGATTCATCGGCAAGTAATCTTCCTCCATTGGAAAATTGCTTTCATCCCAATCATCCAACGCAGTAGGCCGAGGAACGCTAGCAGAGAACACTCGTGATTTTATAGGCCGCTGGGAGTGTAGGAACCGTGGTCCGATACTGTCATTAAGAAGATCAGGCGGTGATGAACCGATAAAAGAGGAAGATGGCTTTCTCAAATCATTAGGACCGTAAGCTGTATCCCGAAGATTCCGGAGTGTATCTGACGGCGCAGCGCCCATCCGCTGCGCTGGCGGAGACAACTCCAGTCCGAATTTGGAGGGCACAGAAGCCGCAACCGGGCCATAACGAGCGGCATGCGAGATCCCCTGGCTATCAAAAGATGCAGGAAGTGGGGCATCAAGTGCAGTTAAATGATGATGGCTTGGCGACATGGGGAAGCGCAGATCGTCAACTGGTGAGCCGTACTTTGAGCCAGCATCCGATACCAATCCAGTATCAATGGTAGGGATGGCATCATAAGGGGGCTGCTGCTGCTGCTGCTGCTGCTGTTGCTGTTGCGCATGCAACGCAGTATATTCATCTTGGGGTGGCATCTGAGAGGTATACCGGGGATCATGGCCATTCAGTCGTTGTTGGGAAAGAACCGAGTTCGTCAGCGCGGAGTCCTGGTTGACATAGGCCTGTGGGTTGACACGCCCGCCCAGATTCAGATGGCTTCCTCCCATTGCCATTCCCGGACTGGGACGATTGACTCGGCGACCATCGGGTAGAATATGCGCCAGTGCACACTTTGCTCCAAATTTACAGTTTCCCTATAATTGTCCCCATATGCGGTCAGCCCCATGTGACTAAGTCCCATTACGGTCGATTAAGCATGATCGGCGCAAGGAACAAACGGTCATGATATCACCAATTCCATACCTTTGTGAAGTACTTGCAGGGCGCATAATCGATCGCAGCATCGGTAGAATGGAGGAAGGGACATGCCGGCCCGGCCTGGCAAGCTCCTTGACGAAAGAACTTGCAAGGCACATGCTTGGTGTCTGCGCGACGGTTGCCTTCAAATCAGCATTCAATCAACTCTCGTGGTAAATGGAACGAGTAGCCATGGAGACAAGCGGGACGAGCGTGAGAGAGACTGTCTGGAGGTGCAGAGGGATCGACAAGTCTCGCGTGCCAGTGCGAAGCGGCCGGGGGGGAGGGGGGCGAGGCAGAGAACGAGAAAGATAGGAGACAACATACTGCTCTGGTTAGGAGGGCTGCGGGCAGCCATGTCGAAGCCCGAGACGTTGCGGGAATGGCCGTTCTGGAGAGCCTGTGGGCCGGAGGGGACCGGGAGAGGAGCACGGCTTTTCATCTCACCCGATACACGGGGTGGAGGACGAGCAGCGTGAGAGGACGAGGAGGAGGAAGAGGAAGAAGAAGGAAGGGGTTGCGGAGGTGGAGGATTGCGAGAAGCCGATAGCTGCATCGCCAGAAAGAGCAGCAGCAGTTGGCAGCAGTTTGGCAGTAGTAGCAGTAGTAGTAGCAGCAGCAGCAGCGAACGAAATTAGCGGCGTTGGGTTCGGCGGCGGCAGAGACGGCGGGCGGCGAAGAGCACAAAAATCCGGAGGGGTTTATCGGTGGACCGGGGAGGGAAGGAGGAGGGGGCGAGATTTCCACGGCTTGGTTTTTGCTGGTGGGGATGATGGGATGAGGAGGAGGAGATCACCGAAAAGTAGAGAGATTGAGAGAGAGAGAGAGAGAAACCACGCTGCTTTGGCGGTGTAGTCGCAAAGTGAATTAATTAAATAGTTATAGTTCACTTGACGGTTTTTTTCGTTTCACTTCTCCAGATTGTGAACAATTAGTTTTCAAGTCTCAAGTCTCCGTCTCCAATCTCCCGACCGGTTGGGAATGCTTACACCTCTCGTTTAGTACGTATGTATGTAGTAGTTGCCCGATTGCCTCCAAAACTTTGAGATATTTTTTTTTAGTTTATGTCAGGCAGAATCTCGCAATCAATTTAGTCCTATTGGAATTCTTGTTCTTCCTCTCGTCTGAAACAAAATGAAGTGTTGACTTTTTTCGAGTGAATAATAATGAATAGCTTCAGGAGGAAGAGAGCGGGCAGACATCTACTCGAACAGGGACGGAGGGAAAACACATGGATGGACCGGTGATTAAGAAAGTTGCAACTATTTAGTTTCAAATACTCCTCAATCTTGAATTTCTGATCGTTTTTTTCCCCTCCCCACTAATATTTCCCTTTTCTGTCCTCCCCCCCTCTTTCTCTTCCTCTTCTACCTTTCCACCATACACCCTCCTCTCCTCCTCCCCTTCTCTAGTATGATCTCCACACATCTCTCCATACAGTACAATTCGGAAAATCCAATTGCTGGACATTCATGCTGGCTACTACAATGAAAGATTTACGGCCATCACCCAACATCACATCACGCCCTGTGTCTCTTTGTGCCAAACAACGCAGGGCCCTGGGCGCATGACGGTCTCCCGATGCAGAAAGGCAAACCGGCGTCAAAAGCCTCCCTGGTGGCGTCAGATCGAGTCTGCAACAGCTCCTGACTGTGTCGCATGCTTCCTTCCTCCCCTCAGTTGACAGCCCCATGCTTCACTTGTTCCTTGTTGAATCATGAAGATCATCCAATTATTCGTTCGGATGACACCTGTCGGATTGTTCATCTGATCGTCCCCCTACCCCCATCTTGCGGTCCTAGCTTTTTGCCTCAAAGCAGCTCCCCGGCCTAGGCTGTTTAGCTCTCCTCGGGTTCTGCTCGTCAAATCACACCCTCCTGATCCCGCGCAGGGCGGAGCGGCTGCCGATCAGCCAGATAGATATCTAGTCCTCGCTATCGGATCGTCCCCACACTCTCACGTTGTAGCTGGTGGCACAACATCTGCATCTGTTCCGTACCATGTACCATGTACTGTGTACTCCGTAAACCTTTCAAATGCCCGATTGAGCAATAGTAATCTCCATTGAATTAAATCACGGGTCATACAGTGTATAGTATTAATGGCCATAGGAAGATTCAGGATTGTGGACCAGTGTTTGCTTGTGACCAGGTCGAACAGGTAGACCTCTCTCTACCTCTCAATTTCATCATCACTTGAGAAATGGTCCCTCCAATCCCAGATTCTCCTTCACCTCGACATCGTCAGCGTGTCTCAATATCAATGCAGACCAGCGGTGTTCATCCATCTTACCCATAGCTCTTCTCGGTCGGGCACAACTTCCGAACACATCCGCCATAGATCGCGACAAATCCGACCGCGCACCTTGGCCTGATTCTGCCAATGGTTCCAGTCTCTTTCATCATCCACTCTTATCTGCACGGGTACAGTCCCTGCGTCGCTCCCTCGCGCCTGCACCAGGCGTGCACGGATTGCCTCATGTTCTTGCTCAAACTGACCGACATCCCGTCGAAGTTCGGAGAGCAAGGGTCTTGCACAGATGGTTGCTAGCTCCGCTCGCGTCCTTTTCTCTGCAGCTTCGAGACTGGTTACTTGCTCCTGCAGTTTCTCAGCCTGTTCATCCAAAGCTGCAATGATCTCGGGTGTCACTTCGGTGGACGTCTCCTGGAGGGCGTGATATACTATCTGTTTCCCTAATGTATCGCGAATCAATTTTTCCATCCCATTGCATATTTATCCTTATATTGCTTGTGGTCTGCTTACCAGCAGCCCGTCCTTCAATTTGTTTATTCTGATGTAGTTCCCGTAGAGCTTTCGCAGCGTGTGCTATCATATGTACAGCTTTAGCACGCAAGTCTCACAAAGGTCTCGCCTTGGTAAAACGGAGCCTACCTTTTGTAATCTTATTGTGCAGATTCACCGAAACCTCGGTAGCCTGCCGTACATCAGCCGTGGAAGACCTTTCCCTACCTTCCCTTATCGCCATCATTAAAATCATTATGAAAACCAACCGAATAAGGACGACTGTCTCGTTGACAGCCCACAACATATTAGTTACTTGAACAACACTAACCAGCCTACTCAACTGAGTGGAAGAGATCTATACTTTTGTTTTCCTATCAAGCAAGCACGGTCAACAATTACAAGACTCCTCAAAGCAAGCAGACTAGCAAATGGTGGAGTAAGCTCACGGAGATACTCAAGCACTAATGCAGAACCATCAGGAGCAGCGGCTTTTCCAAATTTACCTTGTTAGCTGTGCATAAGCCAGCTCGACTGTGGTTTAGAGATTGTGAGTTGCTCACATCCGGCACCCAGCTGCTTCTCATTTTTCGCCTTTCTCTGGGCCATGGAGAGGTCGGATTGCGTTGCTCGGATTCTTGCGAGCAAGATTGAAGAGAGACTTCGGAAGGATAAACCAAGATATGATATGTGGGATTCAGCGAATGATAGGCCCGTTGTATGCCTGGATCATCACGTGGGCCACACGACAGGGCTCTCATCTGGAAATGGAAGGTAGTGGATTAAAATTATCTAAAAAAGAGTTTGTTGCCTTCAGGCAGGCTGAACACGCGAGCTGAAATTGTGGAGGGGCCAGAAGAGAAAGGACAGACAAAGGCCTGGTCATGCTGCAAGATACTTGGTCCTACGCCGTTGCATGTAAATCGTGATACCGAAACAAAACATCACATCCAAGAACAAACTGGAGTAAAAAGGGGAAGATTCAGGACAACAGGGTGAACGACATATGCAATCCTTAGATGGCCCAAGACACGGGAAGATATCACTATGCATCTTCTCGTCTACTGACCATCCAATTTTCCAACACTCCAAACCATCTACATCAATAGATCCTGTACGCAAGGGAGAAGTAAAAAAAAAAAAAAAAAAAAAAAAAAAAAATGATAAAGAAAAACCCACTCCCCAAATTTTTTTTTGTCCTTCCGAATATGGCACAGATGAAGAAAGACCAAAAGTAAGAGATCTTCAAGGGTATCACATGACGATCTGCGCGTAGTTAGCTTGATGACAGCGTCTTTAAAAGTGAGATATCCAAGAAAGGAGGTTACATACGCAATCATTGTCTTTCTGGACAGTCGGAACACCCATCTCCTCGAATGTTTTGGGGCCCTTGCCTGGCAGGTTACCATGCTGTTTAGCGGGTGCGGGTTTTTGGCTAGATGTGCTCGAAGCCGTGGAGGGAGGCTTGGGAGTCGAAGTTGAGGGAGGAGGCTTAGGTGTGGAAGCAGACGATGACGAGGGCCGGGGCGTCGCTGCAGCACCGGGCGGCGGCATGGATTCAGTCCGTGGGGGATATGCGTTGGAAGGCGAGGCAGGCGGCCTAGGAGAGCCCGTCGGTCCACCCTGGGAGTGGGGAGAAGCAGGGCCCCGCACAGGTCTCCTGTCCGGGGGAGGCATGTTGTCCAGTCGCTGAGGACGTCTGCGAGCATCGGGGTGAGGATTCTCGAGGGGTGCTGAGTAGCCAATATCGAGTTTAGGTGCCGCCGACGCTGGGCTTGTGGGGCTAGTCGTTGATGGCGTACTGGGGCCTGGTGAGCGGTATCCCATGGCGCTAGGCCCGTACGAAGCAGCACGGTTGTAGTTCGGCGCGTTCGACCGAATATTCGGGTTGATTCCAAATGCAGAACTTGGCCGGGGGTCCGCACCCATGGGATATCCTGGCGGATACACAGGTCGAGCACGAGATCCCGGTCTGTCAGGGTAAGGAGCAGGCGCGGCGGGTGGGTTATCTGATAGAGTCATTCTGGAGGGATCGGGCATTTCGAGATTCTCCTGAGGCGGTTTCATCGGGGGCCCTCGCGGGCCATTGCCATAGCGAGTCGACTTGATCCGGGCAATCGCAACCTGTTCATGATCCTTCCTCGATAGGGTCTTGGAGCGCGAGATGCTATCGATCCGGCCGGTCGCGTCTTTGTTTCCATTTGCTGCAGCTTTGGCATACCAGCTCCTGGCTTCTTTGATATCCACCGGAACGAAGATACCGACTTCGTAGAAATATCCCAAGGCGAACTCAGCGGTGGGGAATCCACTTTGAGCCGCACGTTGAGCATACATGAACGCCAGCTCATCGTTCTTTTCGAAGACCCCCTCATGGCCGCAGAGGAACCATTTGCTGATAGCCATCTCCGCTTCCGGCTCGCCTTGGCGTGCAGCCAGCGCGTTGTAGTGCAAGGACAATGCAGGGTTAAAATCACAGCTAAGCTGGCACAGTTCATAGGCCGCACCCATCTTGACTTGGGCCTTAGCAAACCCGTGGTAAGCAGCCTTCTCGATGTTGACGCGAGCAGCATTCAGATCCAGCGGCAAGAACTGCTCAGGAACGTTTACCTGCGGCAGCTCTCGTGCCAACAGCATACCGTAAACCTATACAACATGTTAGAGCTCTGGTCACCAAGAGGATTAGTAGGCGGACGCACGTAAGCTCCCTGAGGCGCATTTTCGTCGCAGGACTGCGCAGCAAGGCTGATATAGTTAAGACCCATTTGGTAGTCTTGGCGTTGCCCATGCTGTCCAAGAAGGATCATCATACCCAGGCGCTATTGATCAAAACATCAGCATTCGCTGGGACGCGATAATGGGGAGGGGTCATACGTAGAATGAAGCCGAGTCTGCGAGCGCAACTCCCTTCTCGTAATGCTTGATAGCCTTCTCTGGCTCTCCCGAACTCTCGAACTGCATGCCGATACGATACTCGGCTCTGGCGTAGCCTTTCTCCGCAGCTCTCGAATAGGCACGGAAAGCTTCTTTCTTGTCCACGCGGTATCCAAACTTGCCAAACTCTAGCCACATTCCCTTGATGAATTCGGCCTTGGGATGATATTGCTCCGCTAGAAAGTTGACGATATTCATCGCATCGAGTTTCAGCTGCCGCTCCGCCGGAGGGGTCTGAGGGCGCGGGGGCTGAATCAACGATAGACGAGCCTCATTTTGCATAGCAACTTCCACATAGGCGAGCGCATCCTGCGCCCAGGCCAACTGCATATCAGGATCATTTGACGACAGCACGGCCATGCGGGCCCTCTCCAAGTTTACCTCCCTCTGCTCATCGGTCGGGGGGACGTTAGGTGGAGGATTGCGCAGGACTGGGAATGGCGAAAAGTTGGGGGCGTCCATAGTGTCGTGGACAGCGGCTTGCTCAAAACGAGCGGAATCGTAGGCGGCGGTTGGAGAAGCCTGACCCTGAGCGACCGCAGAGGTAGTTCGTTCAGGGTAACGCGAACGATCATACTGGTTGTGGTGGGGGTTCCGGGCCTCGTGTTCGAGGTGCGCGATATTGTCCTGCATGTTCTCCGGGACTTCTGGCATGACCCTAATGGAAGGAGGATTTATCGATTAGCAACACGCCAACCAAGGGACTCCGTACAAGGCCAGGAAAAGACAGGGTTTTCTATTTGGGGGAGGTGTGCTGGTTTCCCCTTTTTGTCTGAAGAATGTTCTTTTCTTTTTATTCTTTCTTATGACCGCTGTCATCCGAGGGGAGGTTTCGCACCTTTGAGGAGAGGGGGATATGACCTCCGGCATGTAGAAATCATCCTGGCCCCCTGGATACCAGGTAGCACCCAGCCGTGGCTGACCGTGACCTTGGGGTGGCCTATTCATCGTCGGCGAGATTCTCCGTTTATTGGACGGTATTGCTTTTTTCACCCGTGTTAGTTTTGTTTCCACCTTACCCCTGCTGAAATTGGCAAAGAAAAATTAATTGTCACTCGTCTCGGACTGGGCGCCAGTCAATAGCGTGTTTGGCACTTTTGGCTGGGCTCAGCGGTTCATCGGAACCTCTCGAGAGAGAAAAAAAGTAGAGCCGGCGTGGGGACTGCCGAGTAGTGGTGGAGGACTAACTAACTAGTAAGTCGTTCTCCGAGAAGGGGGAGGAGGGGGGAAGAAGGGGGGGCGCAGTCACGACTAACTACTGTTACTGAACTGATTTGGACTAAGATGATATAACGGAACACCAAGGAAGAGAGGGCGCGCGCAAGGGCTTCTTCACATCTAACTAAGAACTCTCTAGCAGGCAAAAAAGATACAACTAGACAGGGAAAGAGAGTGTGTAATATATCCATTTGGGTCGGGGAATGGACGCTAACAGTCTGGTTATTTCCCTGGCACTAATTTAGGTGGCCATGATACGCAGTATAGGTGATACAAAGAATAAGATTAATCTTACTGTCGAGTACGAGAGAAAGAGGGGAGGGGGTTTTGTCATAGGGAAGAGGGGTTGGAGGGGGGAAAAGGAAAAGAAAAGACAAGGCCAGGAACCACCACAGTACTAACAGTACGGACTTCCTTGTAGCCTACCAGGCAGTTCCAGTACGTAGAGAGTAGTACCATATGGGTAACACTAGTAGTAGTATGGAGTTCTAATAAATACTAGTAAGGCTCCTCCACAGGTAAACTACTCCATAACGACTGGACCACTAATATTGAAGTAGTCCTCGTATTAATCATCATTTCTTCCTCTCCATGGTTCGGGTATCTTGTTGACTATCATTCAAAGAAGAAACTAGTGCAGGCAACAATTGAAGAAGAAACTAGAAGACGATAAAGATCGTTACTTGTTCATTTTCAACGAAAATTATTACGAGCAAGTTATCCACTTTGGTTGCTTAAGTAGAGGAAGGAGACTAATCTTACTGATGCCGGAAGATTCTTGGAAATTAAAATAGTAACTCCTAATTATCTATCTACATAAGTTAACTAACTAGTCAATTAGTTAACTATCTACCTGATGTGAGGTAAGCAGACACTAGCCCAAATATTTACTTAGTTAATTAACTTAAGTAACTGTTACGGAGGAGTTAACTACATATGGTTAAGATAAGTTACATACTGTGAATGTATAATTACAATACCTGACCATCATCCTGAGAGTGAGAAAGAGAAGTTTAGGGGCAGAAAGTAAGCAACGATTGATTCAACAATCGAGGTGAATGGAGGAATTAGAACTGAGATGTTAAGTACTAGTACTTCCACGGGAACCATACTTTTCAGCCTGATGGATGGCCAGCTATTTTTATCGCGACAATCGCACTACCACTGTGTCTTGGACTAAGCGCCCAGGGCGTCCGTTAGACTAGTGATGGAAGCCCCTTCCAGAAGGAATCTTACCATACCTGACAGGTACTCCCGCAATGACTTTCCCTTCCTCTTCCTCTCTTTAGGCCAGTCATCTTCAATCCATAATAATGACTCGTGTGGAAAACAATTGCTAAGCAAAGGGAGAGCGCCAAATACAGCATCTACAGGCACATCGCACATGCAGTGTCATTGAGAAACAAGAGGTCGAACCTTTTCTTCAAGTTTACTTAGGTAAGTAATCTCTTGGCATCTGTTGAATCCTCTGTGGTGGACCCAAGCCTTGGAATTTTCACCTTTGTTGGTAATGTGTAACCACCATCAGAGAGTGACTAGTAGGGGTAACCCCTCCATATAGTTGCACTATACATAGGCATATCAGCCTATAGTCTACACCTAGCGACGTGAGATGCTATCCTAACACTTGATCCTCTTCTTTCTGAAACACTACCTGGCAAGTAATCAAAATTGTCTTCCTTGTCTAGTCGAAGGCAGTCTGAAAGTATACCGTCACGGGCATTAAGTACTGACAGTGGTAAAAGCATTGGTGCTTGGCGTTCCACCACCTTAGCATATAGACTACGTTTTGTCTCATCAACTTCCGGCTGCCGTACAATTTGGCCAGTGCCCAGCTTCGGGCTGCAACACCACCAATGGAACCCCAGCGTAATGATTTTCATCATCCTTACTCGCCTTATGACATCCAACTGCAGTTGATGCGGGCGCTATACTCTTGTCTCGAACAAGGAAAAGTTGCTGTTTTCGAGTCACCTACTGGTAAGCCGTGTAAGCTTCGTGCTAGATTCATTTGCAGCTAATATAGCCAATCCCAGGAACTGTAAGTAAGATTTTTATTTCATTTTACTCGTTCGATTCCAGGTGAACGTATACAGTAGATAGTTCTTGGTCGTCACCATATACTATCTAGTAGCCCATGAACCCCTGGCTGCGGTAGCACAAGCTTGAGAATTCACCGAAGTGTGCCGTGGGTTCATGGAATATGGCTAAACAACTTGCCAGGGAAAATCCTTAAGTTTAATATGCGGTTCCTTGACGTGGCTGCGAGACCACAGGCGTTCCGCCTTCCAGACAGCGGTTGACAATGCCACATGTGAGACTCCTCGTTACTGGATAGCTGAAATTCTCCACTAATCGTACTCTAGATGATGATGACGAACCTGAATGGATGCTGGATTTTGCCAGGCGTGAGTCGAGTCGGAAGATGACCGAGAAAAGGAAGGAGCTTGAAGAGAGATTAGAAAGGACGAGAAAGGAAGAAGAACAGCAGAGGATCGCGCTAGACAACCCCGAAGGATCCCGGAAAAAGCAGGTATGAGGTTGAGCAATACTTCTGTCTCGATATATCGGCTGACTCCAAATTTGTCCGTGCAGAAATACAGTACACCATCAACTGAAACTGGTGGGCTAAGCGAAGAACACTTTGCGCTGGATGACTACGACAGCGAGAATGAAGAGCATAGCAAACAGCGGAGTGGGCTGGCCCATACTAACGAACTATCTTCTAGTACACTAGAATTGTTGGAACGCTTTAAAGGACAGTTCTCCACCGCCAAGCCAGGAAGTGACGATGAAGACAATGACGAAGTCAAGATATTTTATTGCTCCCGGACACACTCCCAGTTAAGCCAATTTGCCGGTGAACTGAGACGCGTTAAAATGCCATGGAGTGTACCGAAGGACTTGTTGAGTACTGACTTGACAGGAGAAGAAGAACTCGAGGAGCGTGTGAAGCATGTCACTCTTGGTTCTCGGAAGAACCTCTGCATTAATCCCCGTGTCAGTTCATTGGAAAATGCAACAGCGATTAATGAGCGTTGTTTAGATCTACAACAGCCCAATGTGGATCCTCAGCATAAATGTCCATTTCTGCCATCCAAAGAAGATGAAAGACAGGTTCTTCAATTCCGGGACCATGCATTATCAACAGTGAAGGACATTGAGGACCTGGGAAAGCTTGGCAAGAAGATTGGGATATGCCCTTATTATGCATCCCGTTCTGTTATTAAGAATAGTGAGGTTTGTTGCCTTCGAGTCCGACCTTCAACCGACCTAGTAGCTGATGAGTGGCAGATTGTAACACTACCATATCCCTTGCTGTTGCAACGCTCAGCGAGAGAGGCTCTCAATCTATCTGTCAAGGGGCATGTCATAATAATCGACGAAGCCCATAATTTGATGGACGCAATATCCAACATACACTCGGTAACGGTGACGCTTTCACAATTGCAGACCTCTCTTGCTCAATTGACTATCTATGCCCGCAAATTCAAAACTCGCTTGAAGGGGAAAAACAGGAGCTATGTTGCTCAGGTTATTCGGCTCCTCAGTTCAATCGCTGCTCATCTTCGGTCACTCCTAGAGAGTGGAAAGGCACCGGAGGGCCCGGTTTTGGCATCTGAGCTCATGTCCGGAAAGGGGGTTGATCAGATCAATCCTTATAAATTGAGTCGATATTTACAAGAAAGCAAATTAGCAAGGAAAGTTGATGGATATGTCGAGTTCACTAAAGATCCGTCAAACAAGCAGGGGACAAGGGATCCTACGGTGCCCGTACTGTTTCACATACAGGGATTTCTTCTATCTTTGATGAACCCCTCTGCCGAAGGGCGATTGTTCTACTTGAAGGAACAGGGAGATATCCAATTGAAGTACATGCTTTTAGACCCTACCAATCAATTTCGGGAGCTTGTGGAGGATGCAAGAGCCGTCATATTGGCTGGCGGGACCATGTCACCCGTAAGTTTCGACGGCCATCAATGGTAGTGTATTGTTTATCTCACGATTTGGGCAGATGACAGACTACATGAACCATCTCTTCTCGTATGTCCCAGCCAGTCGCTTAGACACGTTCAGTTACGGCCATGTCATACCACCAGAGAATTTGATCGCTCACACACTGGTACGGGGTGTTCAAGGCTCAGAATTTGACTTTACCTATGATGTCCGTGACTCTGAGAAAATGGTGAGAGCTTTCCTCTTTCGACGCATAGCATCGTTCTCTATCTGAAAAGAAGCTGACCATTGTTACGTCGGCATTCAGATCATGGATCTTGGTAGGACGATAGCTACGCTCTGCCATGTCATCCCCGACGGAGTAGTGGCATTCTTTCCCAGCTACGATTACCTTGGCCGGGTCCTGAGCATCTGGAAGAAGCCAATGCTAAGCGAACAAGGCCAGACTGTGTATGGCTTGATTGGGCAGAAGAAGCCCATACTGTCTGAGTCCCGAGACATGACAGTCACTACCGAGGAACTGCTACAGACGTACGCCAAAACTGTTGATTCTGGCAGAGGTGCGCTTCTCTTGTCCGTTGTGGGTGGCAAGCTGTCAGAGGGCATCAATTTCTCTGACAAACTCGGACGGGCTGTGTTGATTGTGGGACTGCCCTTTCCCAATATACGGAGTGCAGTTTGGCAAGCCAAGGTACAGTATATTGAGCAGAAAACACACCAGCAAGCTACAGGCCCTGAGGCAAGCCGGCAATCAGCAGCAAAAGCAGCAGGGAGGGACTTCTATGAGAACTCGTGCATGCGAGCAGTGAACCAGTGTATTGGGCGAGCCATCAGGCACCGTAACGACTATGCGGCGATTGTTCTGATTGACAGACGTTATGATAAACCCGGTATCCAAGCGAAGCTACCGGCTTGGATCAAACAAAGTATGGTAGGCAGTTCGGCCCAACGACCTGCTGGTGCTACGATTCAGAGTTTGGCGAAGTTTTTTGCCAGCAAATCAACCTAAATCGATCTCGAGTAGAATAATAGACCATTTCAGAACAATTACCGCTAATACGATTCTACACATGTTCAAAACGTTATAGACATTATTTTCCGTCCGTTGGTGAAATTATGTGAGAGGAACCGATCTAGTAGATCTATAGTAACTCCGTAGATCTATCTAACAAGGGAATGTTCTATGGGTGATTATGTAATCTAGTGGCGCAGGCGCTGGAGCACGTGATGGTACTGCGCCCAGCCGCCAAAGACAAGCCGCAGGGTTGGCCCTAAGTTAGGGCAAGCGAATTAGCGCACACTCTAGCCGCCCCGGAGCCTTGATTTCAACATCTGAGCCAGCAGTATACACGACCGCATCCCCCCATCGCCAACCCTCAGACCGGTCTTGTCGAGCTCAGCACCGTCGACAAGATGCCTACCCGTTTCTCGAAGACAAGGAAAGCGTGAGTCGCTTCAACTTCTCCCTTTCGCCTCCGGTGGTCGACCGTTTCGTTTGTCGTGGTCAATTTGCGACAGGCTTGAGGCCTCATCCGACCACCGTCCGCCCCGTCTACCAGAACAACAAGAAAACTGACTTTTGTGTCTTCTTCCTTAGCCGCGGTCATGTTTCGGCCGGTTACGGTCGAATTGGCAAGCACCGTAAGCACCCCGGTGGTCGTGGTATGGCCGGTGGTCAGCACCACCACCGCACCAACCTCGACAAGTACCACCCCGGTTACTTCGGTAAGGTCGGTATGAGGTACTTCCACAAGACCCAGCAGCAGTTCTGGAAGCCCACTATCAACCTTGACAAGGTACGTTCAAACTCGACACTACGATCCCAATCGAGATGTGGCGAAGAGAATCGGGAAGATGAGAAGGCGCAAGGGGTGTACATTTGTTATCAGACACCGTGGAAGAAGAATGGGAGGGGGAATGGAACAGGAGCGCAAGAACATACGAGATTTGAATACGTTTTCAAGGAAGTGGATGGCTGATAGATTGTCTTCCCAATATAGCTGTGGTCTCTCGTCCCCGCCGAGAAGCGTGATGCCTACCTGAGCGGCCAGAAGACCGACACCGCCCCCGTCATCGACCTCCTTCCCCTCGGCTATTCCAAGGTTCTCGGCAAGGGCCGTCTCCCCGAGGTCCCCATCGTCGTCCGCGCTCGCTACTTCAGCCGGGATGCTGAGGAGAAGATCAAGGCTGCCGGTGGTGTTGTTGAGCTCGTTGCTTAAGTGTGGAAAGTCTGGGATTTCACTTGGAGGATGAAAAACCGGGACAGGTGCTGCGCTGGCTACGATTCGGTGTAATAGAGATTCGAATTCTCCCCGGGGAATGAGAAAACAAAAAATGGGAGCCGCGGATCGGGCACCTTGATCCGTGTATTTACAAATTCAAAAGGGTTTCTATTTGTGACGAGCAAAGAATGGCCTCCGGATGCCCTTGCGATCACGCTCTATTATTGAACAATACCATAAAGGAGGACAACCTTTTTTTTTCTGTGGATATGTTCGCTCTTCCCCCATCTATGCTGCTACAGAGTATGCCGGGCTATGGCTTCTATGAGCATGAGGGCAAGGCTCTTGAATACGGCTGTTTTTGAGTATGAGCCAGCAGCGCCGGTTTTGAGGATGTATATCCCAGATCTGAAATGCCCTTTGGAGTTGCAGCGATTACAGAATGCGTAGACCACTGGACTATGACCTTCCTCTTTACTCCAAAGTTCGGAAGATATGGCTCTAATTCATGCCCATTGCCCGGTTATTGTAATCCTCCCGTGGTATCCGTATGATAATGATAATATGGTGATTGTAGTAGAGGACTATGTTATGTGATGTAGAGGTACCGGGACGTTTATGTAGGTCTCTATGTAAAACAACGGTCGTAGTACATCCTGAGTAGAGAAAGAGTTCTAGATCTTCGATTCACGCACCGACCCCACCTTCTCTGGGGCTTTGTTGCTGGCCTCCAGGGTTTCACGAATGAAACGAGTTGCCTCATCCATCATCTTCCCGGTCATATCATGCCCAGCCTCTTCATCGATGATATCTTCGAAGGTCACAGCACCATCGGCAAACCAGCCCTGCGAAGCGACAGCCTGCTTTAACCAAGCCAAAAACACCTCCCCGCGATGATAAGGGACCAACTTGTCCTTGCCGCCGGCCAAATTGAGAATCCTCTTTCCGGCTATGGAACGGGCAAGGAGCGGTCGCAACGCAGCCTTCTCGCTCTCCGTCGGCTCCGGCAATGGTCCACTGCGAAGAGGACCGACATCCGAGGCCGACTTCACGTGGCTCAACAACAGACCGGCCGGATCGTACTTCTTCACAGCATCCAGTAGAGATGAAGGAAAAGCCTCAGAGCCAAGGAATTGAGAGCCTGGGGTGTCGGTGCTCGTCCACGATGGCAACTTCGATAATCTGGCCCGATCAGCCATCAGATTCACGTAGTCCGGGCAGCCGATGACGACGACCCCGGCGCTTATGCGAGGTTCATGCAGAAGACAGCTCCATGCTGCATGGCCGCCCAGGGAAACACCCAACACCAGATTATCGACGATCTTGCGATCGGAGTGGGGGAACACATAGGAGGGGAGGTAATCAATCAGAAGAGATACGTCTCGGGCAGTGCCCTCTGTGGTTCCAGAAGGAAAGTTGTTAGAGTCTACATTTTCCTCTGGTAGCAAGTGACTCAACTCACGAAAAATTGAGAACATATCCTGAGCATGTCGAGGGTTTCCCTGTCTCCATGCTTCATTGGCCAGCGGATCTACCTCTCTCGTTCCATGATTGCGTTGATCGAATGCGACAGCAATGAGGCCCTTGGTGGGGTTCCTGGAGTTCCAATCCGCGATGATGGTCGTCCCAATGCCTTTCATACGTTCTTGGGTACCTCCTCTGGGATGTAAGAGCCACAGACAGGCAATGTCGGAGGTTTGTGTGGGGAGTTCATCAAGACCGTAGACTGTGGTTTGGATCCCCGCAACTGGGTATGTCTTTCGCGAGACGGTTGAAGCATCGCCGTAGCGGCTTGCGTTGTCAAGTGTCTTTATGGGATCAGCCATACTTTGTTGCGTTGTTTTGTGGGTTGTCTTGGGGTTCTCTTTTGCTGGGTGGCAATCACGCAGTGACGAGGAATTGGTTTGGGGGGGTTTTGGTTGATCGGCGATGGCAAGTAATTTGCCGATATATATCCAACTACCTCGGAGGCATTTACCGAGGGGTGTTGTGAACTACTCCACTACTGATTTCTAGAAGTGCCAGAGGAGCTCTCCCAGTGGGAATCAGGGCTTGACGGGGTATGCACTGCACAGTAACAGAGTCCCTGCCTGCAAACCCAGTATGCTCAGCTATATAGTTACAGGTTATGATGCAAGTCTGCGAACATCCAGCTGGTCTGTAATATTATACATCTGAACTGCCTTAATTATGTTAAGAGGAAGCGAATGAGGATTACTGTTAGGGAGAAGGGCCGTCCTTGGGAGCATGTAGTATCCGGATTATAATAGCGCAATCATGAGACAGTCGCATCTATTGTTCACATAAACGTTAGAACACTAGCATTGCAGCGTCCAGATCAGATACTCTTATACCACACTTCTAGATAATGGTTAGTACTTCATTGTCAAGCGGTGAGCAGAGCGGTGACCTGTTCGACGCCGAGGATCGGACTGTTGTAACTTACCTGCCCACATAGGTTGGGTTTTGAAACGGTATGAAACCCGTAACCAGCCATCCTGTGGCTGGTGCTGGGCGATTGCTGCCTTAAGGCCAAAGTACCACGGTTGTGGCCCGGTTGTGCTTGGGTTCTCCCGCACGGAGTACCTTGCAAGTACCTCTCCCCGTAACCAAGTATTTCGAAAAGGAAGTGTGACGGCGACGTAATCCGCACCCTGATCAGAACGAACTTACACATCGTATTGCGTATTTTGTAGGCCCGCTGAACCTTAGCGGTCTCTTCTCTTCTTTCTTCAAGGAATTTCCTCAAAAGCAAGAAGGAAGGAAAGGGTACCTTGACTTCTTCTCTTCCATCTTTCTTCTTGAGGGAGCTATTATTTATCCTACTGTATACTTGGGGTAGCACTTATTGCAGCCGAGGCCGAACGGAGGGTACCTACTTACTGCAAGTAAGTAACTAACTAACTGCTTACTGTACTAGTAGATGGTCATGCAGGTGCAAAGCAGCCCCATTCTGATCTCTCATAAGGGATTCATTGATTGATTGATTGAATGATTGATCCATCCCCCTTTCCTCCGTGTCCCAAGCCGACCAGAACCAGCAGAACTGCGCCAAAGCGGGCCTTCCGTCTCCAGTCAGACCTGCGCTTCTTCTATGGGGCGGACTCCACCGCGGCTAACCACTGTCGCTGCTAAACCCAACGCTCCTTTCAAGTTTCACGTCCAGACGTTTCGGCCGTGTTGTCGACTATCCCCTTAATATCTCTTTACTGCTTGATCTTGCCGATCGGTCTATTGTTCCGTCCCCCGGCTGCTGTGTAATAGATATAGAATGTCCGTCTAATTGAAGATCCGAAACCCGTTCCAACAGGATCCTTTTGATCCGCATGTACGCTGCTCTTCCCCGCGCTCTTGCTTTCTTTCCCTCGAAATCCCCTCCCACCCCTGAATGCCATCTTGCTTGCCCAACTGACATTGCGCTCCTCTACGCAGTATGACCGACTCTACGGTCAATCCCTCGGAATCGAGGGGCTCTGAGAACACCCCCAATCGGTATTACTCGAGACAAACCGAACCGATGTCGTTGGACAGCTTGAAGCTGTCATCGCCGCTTCCCTCCCCTTCCTCGACAAAGGATGACGCAGACAGAGCGGATGGAGTTGATGGCGGAGATCAGGTGGAAGCTTCGTCAACGGTCAGAGGTGTGGGAGATGCTCAATCCGACACAAAAGGAAAGACGCGCGCAGAGCATGCCGGCGATTCTGGAGAGGAGGAAATGTCGAATGCCAGTCCCACCAACAAAGCGGCCTCGCTGAGCCTTCGACAACCGAACGATGCAACGGCAAACCAGCAAAATTCCGGGAGCCGAAAGTCGCCAACTTCAGCCCTGGGATCATCTGCCTCGCCTCGCCGCCCAAGCGTACAATTTACTCAAGACACTCCGGAGGTTGATACTGCTGAGCCATCTCCGTCTAGGCCACCTTCGGTCAAAGGCGATGATGCGGATGCGGGCCTGAAGGGTAGACAATCCCTGCTGACAAAGTTGAAGTCTTTCGCAGCCTCGCCCTCGTTTACCTCTCATACTCGCTCGGCGAGCGGTGCGACGCTGAACGATTTCCGACCTACGAACAATGAACTAGCAACCCCTGGCTCAGAAAGAGGGGAATTTCGCTTTCCGAACACTTTGGAGGAGGAGGGGAGCGATATTGATGCCGACGCGGAAGAGAGTGCCGGGGAGCAACGGGCCCGCCAGAAGAAACAGAAGAAGAAGCAGCCACGTCGTCGGCAGCAGGATGATTCGGTGCCCCCATCGCAGCCAAATACCCCCAAATTCACCAGCCGGCCGTCCTTCCACTTACCGACCTCCTTTTCCCCCTTTGAAAATTATCGCCCCAACTTCTTTCCGCGACGGGGCAGTACCGGTGATTTCACACCTCAACATCGTGAGGGTGTCTCAGAAGACGAAGGTCGTGATCGCCTAAATAGGGATACTGCATGGAGACGGAAAAGTGCCTGGCTTGCTAACGCGCGGGGCCTTACTTACAGTGGGCGCCAAATAGATGCGCCAGCAAATCAAGAGGAAAGAAGACCAAGCAACCTGAGACGGCTGACTGGGTTAGCTGGACCTTCTGAGAATGCAGAAGGAACGGCACCACCCTGGAGGCGTCATCGGGCTGACCGCGGTTCGAGCCTTAGTGCTCAAAGGTGGCGGCAGATAAAGGCAGGTCTCAAGTTGATCGGACAGCGACGCAAGGTGGATAATACAGTAGACCATGCTAAGTCGGCAGAGCTACTCGCTGAGTTGACCTCAGGAGTGCCGGCCGCCTTGATATTGGCCAGCATGTTCCAGCGAGATGAACACGGTAGCAAGCGAATTCCGATTCTTCTGGAGCAGCTCAAGGTGCGGGTCACGGACAGCAAGATTGATTCTCACTCCGGAGATCGCCATCTTGTCTTCCGTATCGAGTTGGAGTATGGTAGTGGCATGACACGGATGAAATGGATCATCTACCGCACCTTGAGGGACTTTGCAAACCTGCACCTGAAGTATAAGTTGCATTTCGGGACTCAGAAGTACATCCAGCTGCGGAACACTGAAGGGGCCCAAAATCTCCCGCGCTTCCCTCGGAGTGCGTTCCCCTATCTTAGGGGCGTGCGTGGGTTGGAAAGCGACATGGAGGATGAGGAGGATGAAGGTGGATACGAAACAGCTGCGGAGGCTACTAGTGGCAATGAAAGAGCCGCCAAAAAGCAGCAGCAAGCGCATCGTCGTTCGTCGGGTGGCCTATCTCGGAGACAGTCTACCGTAACGAACCCAGAAGCGGAGGGTGCTGCTGGGCCTTCAGGCCTTCCTGAAGGAGGGCAGGCCAGTAAAAAGGAGAGCTATCCTGAAAGACAGCGGAAAAAGCTCGAGTCCTACCTGCAGAAGTTGATCCGATTCCTCATATTCAAGCCAGATAGCAACCGTCTCTGCAAGTTTCTGGAATTGTCAGCCCTGGGTGTCCGTCTTGCGGCCGAAGGGAGCTATCACGGCAAGGAAGGCTTCCTGGTTATCCAGTCCTCCAAGGGTCTCGATTTTCGGCGCGCGCTGACGCCGGGCATGGTAAAGAAGCGACACTCTCCCAAATGGTTCCTTGTTAGGCACAGCTATGTCGTCTGCGTCGACTCCCCAGAGGAAATGAACATATATGATGTGTTTTTGGTGGATCCTTTCTTCAAGATTCAAACCCAAAAGGTCAGCTTGAGAAACCAAAAGGCGAAGGAGATTGCCAAATCGGCGACAGAGTCAGCCAGGCACCCACAGCATCACACATTGAGGCTCGAGAACTCGGAGCGCAAGCTTAGACTGCTGGCCAGGAATGAGCGTCAGCTCCATCAGTTCGAAGACTCCATCCGGTTCATGGTTAACAATACCCCCTGGGCAAGGCCGAACCGGTTTGACAGTTTTGCGCCGGTGCGACACAAGTGCTTCGCACAGTGGTTGGTGGATGCGCGTGATCACATGTGGGTTGTGTCGCGGGCGATCAACCAAGCGAAGGATGTCATCTACATCCATGACTGGTGGCTGAGCCCCGAGCTTTACATGCGTCGGCCTGCGGCCATCAGCCAGAAATGGCGTCTAGATCGCCTTCTCCAGCGAAAAGCTCGTGAAGGAGTCAAGATCTTTGTCATCATGTATCGCAACATCAACTCTGCCATCCCTATCGATTCGGAATACTCCAAGTTTTCCCTCTTGGATCTTCATCCAAACGTCTTCGTGCAGCGATCACCAAATCAATTCCGACAGAACACCTTCTTTTGGGCGCACCATGAAAAGCTCTGTATCATCGACCACACCTTGGCTTTTGTAGGAGGTATCGATCTTTGCTTTGGCCGTTGGGACACACCACAACATCTCCTCACCGACGACAAACCCACTGGGTTTGAAACCCCGGATGGACCGAAGGATGCGGATCATTGCCAGCTCTGGCCAGGCAAGGACTACTCGAATCCTCGTGTTCAGGATTTCTACGACCTCGACAAGCCCTACGAGGAGATGTACGATCGAAATGTAGTTCCCAGGATGCCCTGGCATGACATTTCCATGCACGTCGTCGGACAACCGGCTCGAGATCTTACGCGCCACTTTGTCCAACGGTGGAACTACATCTTGCGCCAGCGAAAGCCAACACGCCCCACGCCATTTTTGTTACCGCCGCCAGATTTCGAACCGGCTGATATGGAGGCCCTGGGGCTGGATGGTACCTGTGAGGTCCAAATCCTACGTTCGAGTAGTATGTGGTCGACTGGGACCCCCGACATCACGGAGCATAGCATTATGAATGCTTATGTGAAGCTGATCGAGGAGTCTGAACACTTTGTATACATCGAGAACCAGTTCTTTGTTAGCACCTGTGAAATTGATGGTCGGAAGATTGAGAACTCGATCGGCGATGCTCTTGTGGAACGAATCACCCGAGCAGCAAAGAACAAGGAGGCATGGCGTGCCGTGATTGTCATCCCACTGATGCCGGGCTTCCAGAACACCGTGGATAGTGAGGGTGGAACGAGTGTCCGGTTGATCATGATGTGTCAGTATCGCAGCATTTGTCGTGGGGAGACATCCATATTCGGCCGGCTGCG